TTATTGCAGGTGTGAGAATTTTCAGCGCACGTGAATGATGGAACAATTTTTTGAGAAGTAAAGATTTTCTCCTTTGATAACCATTTCAGATGTTTGGCTGAATAATCCTTGAGGGGATAAGTCAGGCAAACACCATCACAAACAGTATAGGTTGAAGCTTTAAAACTCTTCCGTTTAGACTTGCCATCATTCACTTCACAATGAGGTTTGGAAGCCTTAGCCATTTGTTTAAGTTTCGCAGGCTTTCCAACCTCAGCACTAGAATGATAAAACACAGATCCAGAGTCATTAGAAGAAGACTGAGAATAATGGTGTGTGGCTGAGCTAGATGATTGAGAGCTTGAACTTGAACTTTCTTTAAAAACACTTTTTGAAATAGGAGAGGAGGTAGATGTTGTGTCTGTTGTGGGGGTAATTTTGAGAAGAGAAATCTCATTTAAAAGTTGTTGTTTTTCTGTTTTGAAAAACCTCTCTTTCAGTTTCCAAAGATCTGTGCAAGTCCGCAATTTTACGGATGACCTTTGGAATGTAGAAATTGTCAGTTTCGGATTTTTCAGAAACATATTTTTCTTCCCCTGAGAACACAGACTTAGACTCACTTGCTAGAGAAAAAAGTGATACACAATCATCAGACAAAGGAATTTCCCTGGTCTTATAACTATCATTCAGTTTAATGTAGTCAAACGAGATTTCAGCCTTGAGATTATTTTCTCCCTTTTCTTTTTCTTCGGCATCAGTTTCTGACGCTTCCACGAAGCACATAAGTTTCTTCAAACCCAAACCCATATATCCAATGTTACACAGTTGACGACAATTGACTTTCTTCAAGTTGCATGGGTTTTGGATACCTAAGGGCCTGTTTACTAACAGAAATATTTTCCAGTTTTCCAGAAAACTGGAAAACCGGAAAACAGGAAACAGGAAACGTGTTTATCAAAGAAATTCCTGGAAAACTGGAGAAAGGAAAAAAGAAAAACGCGTTTACCAAATCGTTTTCCAAAACGGAAAAAATGAAACATGTCTCTCTTTTCCTTAATGATTTGGAGAAGTGACTTTTACTAGTTTTCCAAATTTGGAAAACGCATATGCTACAGTGCCTTGCAATGAATTTGCATACTTACACCTAGTGGTGTGTCCGGTCTCGCTCCGATGTCGATTCCATTCCGGTACCTCCATCCTCGTACCTTACCCCTTACCCCTACCCTACCCTACCCACCCAACCCCCACCACCCCGCGTACCCATTTTTCCCTATAATGACCTTACCCCACCCCCCCACCACATGCCCCGACCTCGGCCCCACCCCGATCCACCCTACCCTACCGCCACCCCTACCACCTCGACCCCACCCCGACCCACCCTACCCTACCCCCACCCCTCGTATATTACCACTTACCCCTACCTTACCCCTTACCACATGCCTCCTACCTCGGCCCCCACCGCCATCCTACCCCCACCCTACCCTACCTCGGCCCCACCCGAATCCCGGGCCCACCCTACCGCCATCCTATCCCAACCCTACCCACTACCCCCACCCTTACCTCCATCCTACCCCCACCGCCATCCTACCCCTTCCCTACCTCAGCCCCACCAGGTCCCGACCCCACCCTATAGCCATCCTATCCCAACTCCATACCCTACCCCTACCTTACCCCAACCCCAAACCCCACCCACTACCCCCACCCTAGAACCAAATGTTTGCATAGCTTCAAGCTCAAGGATCAAGTCAGTAGATGGTGGGTCTATGCTTATCAGTCTTGTAAGCGTGCCAAGCAAGCAGTTTAAATCTTTTTTTTAAAACGGTGATAAGGTTGATGGTTGAAGAACCTTATATTTATTGATGTAGGAGAAACAGATTCCTAAAAAACCATGGAAGGACAAGCTAGCAGATGAGATTGATAAGCTAGGTTTTGCAAATTAAATTTGTACGTTAGAAAAAATCTCACACCCCAAGGATCCCCATCAAAAAGTCCTAAGGTGGGTAAACAAAGTGTCTGGGGAAAAAATTAACAAAACGTCTTGTAGTGACGCTGGGTTGTCCTAGGCCAGTAACAAGAATGCATGAAACATAAGTGATGAAATCATAGCTAAGAAGAGTAGTCATTAACGCTCGACTCTCGACGACTAATATAAACAGAGGGTGACCCTTCAACTTAACCTTATCAACAACATCTAATTGTTGTCAAATACTATTGTTAATATTTATAAACATATAAATCTAAATGTAAGTACAGTCTAATTTCGACCAATACTTCAAATAATGAATCTAGCAAATCACTCTGATACGACTCCCTAAATGCTTCAAGATTATGTAACTTATTCAACGTTCTAAAAGACATTACTATTGAAGAATTCGATATTTAACAATTTAAAATGCAGGTGAGGTCTCATCATAAAAACGTGTCTTACTCCATCCAACATATTTTAAAGTTAATTATTTGTGCGATTCACAATATTTAACTAATACGGAGTAATAAAATTGCTAATTTTCTGAATATATACACTATTGTTTATATATATATATATATATATATATATATATATAGAGAGAGAGAGAGAGAGTAGTCTTCATGTCAGGCCGGCCTGACGGGATGCTCCGTCCGGCCGAGGGCATCTCGGGCACTTCCTGGTGAATTTTTTTGATGAAATGTTTTGAGCATGTTCTTCATGAAGTCTAGTTTATCCATACCAAATTTCAGCTAAAACTTCAATCGGGAAGACATTCTAATAATTTCTTGAAGTTAACTGGGTATAAACTAGTTAGCTTCAGTTAACTTCAAGAAATTATTTGAATGCCTTCCCGATTGAAGTTTTAGCTGAAATTTGGTATGGATAAACTAGACTTCATGAAGAACATGCTCAAAACATTTCATCAAAAAATTTCACCAGGAAGTGCCCGAAATGCCCTCGGCCGGACGGAGCATTCCATCAGGGCGGCCTGACATGAAGACTACTCTCTCTCTCTCTCTCTCTCTCTCTCTCTCTCTCTCTCTATTTACACACACTCACACACACACACACACGGGTAAACCTGGATTGGATCACAGTCAAATTTCGTTGTATTGACTTTAAATAGATGGTCTAAATTTTAGGTGGATTCCCACCCTAAAATGCATACGGACTTTGTTGTGGTGTTGAACTGCTAATACATTGAGACTATTTATAGTTGCATAAATCGTATGACTGGTTTATATCCAATGGTTTATTCGAACTTTACAGTCCACAATGGGTGAGTCTAAGATTTTTGGTACAAATCATTTAATGTTGTGCAGTACAAATTGTACAAAGTTTGAAAAGTCAAAAGCTGGACTACATTAGATGTACTTTATGGAGCCCCGTTCCTGCATTCAATTCATTCCATGCGCATGAAGATCAACAACTGCTGCCTGCTAGCCTTTTGTTAAAACCCGACCCGACCCATTTTATAAACAACACTTTGGGCAGGAACACTGTTCCTTTTTTCTCCTCCTTTTGTATAATAGAAGATTAGTTGTGAGCTAAAGACTAATCTCGAAATTGGTGACTAATGTGTGGACTAGACTCTAGAGGCTATTGTGCGAAGCTAAGTTTTGAAATACCACATGTCAACTACTAGTTGATAGAAGTAGACCCGTTTAGTAAAAAGAATTGAAATAAATATGAAATACATTGAAGGACATATTTATTAGTAGAAAATATTTAGTATAATGAATTTATAAACTTTAATAAATAGTAAGGTTGTAGAGTGTAAATACCACACAGATGCTTCATGTCCATAAATGTTGTATGTTATTTCTATGACAATAGTAGAGCCCGTTTGGTAGCACGAAAATCAGCTGTTTTGGCTGATTAAAATTTGTGAAGTTTTGGATGAAGTGACTGCATTGGCTGATTCTGCTGATTTAAGAAAAAGTTACTTTTAAAATATATTTTATTAATAAAATAAAGAAAAAATTATATGTAAAAATAGCTAAAATGGTCATCTACAGTAACTTCAGCCAATACAGCTAGAAAAGTAACTCCAACCTTACCTTTTCTGCTTGCACAATTCAGCCTGCGAAAGCAAAAATTACGTGTTTGGTGAAAAAGTTGGCTGATAAGCCTGGTAATGCAAAAGACAAAAGTTACGTGTTTAGCGAAAAACGGTCTCATAATCCTTTAGAAAAATCAAATAATATGAAACATGAAGGACAATATGAGAACCATAATCGCTCGAGTGAATGAATAACTACATGTTTTAACGTTTAAATTCAGTTCATATATTATTATGTAAGCTGAATTCACCCTTCCTCATTAATCATTACTCATCTAAAGACTAATAATTCACTAAAATTAGACATTTCAGCTCACTTTGGGCTGAACAAGCAAAGCCACACCTTACCTTAGCGTTATAATGTATTCAACCCTACTTCGTATACAATCCCCCGTCCCATTAGAAGGTTCTCACTTTCTTTTTTCTGAACGTCCAATCTAAAGGTTCTCATTTCTATTTTAAAAAACAATTAACAATCTTAAGTGACAAATTAATCATTAAATATTAAAAACACTATATTTATAACATCACAATTATCAATACCAACTACATTATACTCCCTATTTAATTATTTCTCAAAATATACTCGAAATACTTTATTTAATTATTACTCCTTCCGTCCCATTTATATTGTTCCGTTTTACCTTTTCGGGAAGTCCCATACCATATTTGGCAAAGTTTGTGTGGCTCTAAATCATTCTTACTTTATTCTAACTTCATCAATTAATATCAACAACACAAACTCACTTTTCTTAATAACTGTGTCACCATCTTCCGTGATAATATAAATGAGACAGATGTAATATCTAAATAACCGTGACGTTTTAGTATGAAAATCTTTCGAACGGAAAAGAGATACTACTTGACGCCGTTGACGGCTTGATGAATAAATAATACTGACATAATTTTTTGAAACCTATTGGGCCATAACGAAAAGCCCCATATGAAGTTGAACAAGTCCAAATTGAATCCAGGGCTCCAATTTGGAACGGGTGACAAGCGCTCGATTCCTTTATAATGCCGACAATTCACTGCAATTGTAAACCCTAGGGCAACATTTTCCTCTCGCCACTGTAAGCGGCGGCTCAGATCGAAAATGGTGAAGTTTCTGAAGCCTAACAAGGCCGTTATCATCCTTCAGGGACGACACGCAGGCAAGAAGGCCGTCATCGTCAAGTCCTTCGAAGAAGGCACTCGCGAACGCCCCTACGGCCACTGTCTGGTCGCCGGGATCGCGAAGTACCCAAGCAAGGTGATCCGTAAGGACTCCGCCAAGAAGCAGGCGAAGAAATCGCGCGTGAAGACGTTTGTCAAGCTCGTAAACTACAACCACATTATGCCGACGCGCTACACTCTCGACGTGGATTTGAAGGACGCCATTCCCGTCGACTGCCTTCAATCTCGTGACAAGAGAGTGACAGCAGCGAAAGAGGCGAAATCTCGGCTTGAAGAGCGGTTCAAATCTGGGAAGAATCGATGGTTCTTTTCCAAACTCAGGTTCTGAGAAGGTCAATACATAAATACTCTACTGATGACTAGTTTTTTCTCCTTTCGTTGCAATGTTTCAAGCAACAGCTGTATTTTGTTCAATTGAAACTTTCATGCTTAACACATCCGATTGAAATTGCTTTATCACCACGTAATATTTGCATCGCAAATTCGCTTATATCCTGTTTTTATTGTTAATGTATATGATTCCTATTTAAATTGCTGATAGGTTAATGTATTAGCAGAGATCTGAATAATAAGAAGCGTTAAGTTGAAGTTGCTTTCTCAGGCGTTGCGGGCATTGTTAATCTAGTACAATGTACGTGTCAATGGAAGCATAAAGTAATTCATGCAACCCTACTTTCTCTGATCTCGATCTGTAATCAAACCTAAATATGAATTGGTTTGCTTACTTTAGGGTCTGAAACATCATTATAGAAACCTTTAAGCGGCTTTTAACTTTTTTTAATAGTTGCTTCATATGGTGAGGGCCCTCTGTGAAAGTGAGGGATGCTCTAGTTTCCGAAGCATAGATCAAATGGCAGTATTAAACAGCATAGTGCATTTTCCATTGCGCGTTGCTACCTGTCTCCTTCTACAGTTTTAATTTAGTTTATCCAAACTTTCTTCTGTATGTTTTGATCGATATGTAGGTGCAAGCTGTGTATGGTCGAGTTAGCTCACACAAACTTTACTGGATACTTCAAAATATCCAAACGTTCATTTTTATTGATTTAAAATACTCGTAAATATGTTAAGAACTTGCATCCGAAATGGAATAATTTAAATACTTTTTGCTCGGTAAAACCAATTTTTGTTCATGTTTTATTCGGCATTATAGCCTTTCAGTTCAACCTTGGATTTAAAAATTGCATCTAAAAGATGTGTTTGAATTAGTCACGATAGTGCAAATGTAATTTATATATAATAACAGGGATGCTATTTTTTAATATCATAGCAGTTTAATGGTTTATTAAACCTGTTTTTTATTTTTCTTGAAAAACCCTGTTTTATTCTTGTTTTGGATATCTTTCTGCAAGTAACGAGGTGGAATTTGAGCACGGAATTACAAAATTTGCAACGCCATTACGCTTTCAATTTTGGGGAAGGACGCAATTTTGAAAGCTTTGCTGGCAAGTACGTAATGTGACCTCACCAGTTGTATGATTGGGTGTCCTATACGAAGATCAGACCATATTAATAATGTACGGAGGATAAAATGTGTAATGCGCTAAAATATGTTCAATCCAAATACAAATTTGGACGAATTTTTCCGAAAGAGAACGCTATCTTGGCTTAAGAGGTCCAAATCGTTTTATTAATAGGCGATTCCTCAAGGCCAGTCACAAGTCTCATAACGCTTGATACTATGGTTGAATCGAACAGTCTCTTATTTAAAACGATTGTTGTAAACTTTCCCGAACTTCTTAGCACAGATCGATAAATTCGATGCCAACTGAATACACGCTTATAAATTGTAAGGGTCATTAGATTGAAGCAACTTTTAAGAGCAATACATACATTTGAATTGTGTTGAAAGAATGAATTTTCGGCTTGAACCGATTTGAACATTTGGGTCACTAAGAGCATCTCCAATGCAAGGGTGCATTGGAGTTCCATGTCAGCAAATGCACATTTTGTTGTAAAATGTACTCTCCAATGTCAATGCCAATGGACCTTCAAAATCTGAGTTGGCAAGGGAGAAGGTCCAGCACCAGGTCCACAAATAGACCTTCGGTGCCACCTTCTGACATTCCAGCTAAGGAAGCAACGCAGGTATGTAGCTTTCCCTTCTTCTTTTTTTTGTTTTTCCCTTTCTGCATTGGAGTACACTCCAAATAGACTTTCTCTATTTGCTCTAGACCCACTTCATTTCATTTACACATCACCTCCAATGCACCCTAGGGTTGGAGATGCTCTAACAAACAGAATTCGAATTGCTACATTTGGAGATGAGTTGAAATATTTTTGTAATAACGGTAGTATTATCAGTGTATAAGAACAAATGTCTCTAAATTTTAGAACATATCTCTAAGAGCATCTCCAACCCTAGGGTGCATTGGAGGTGATGTGTAAATGAAATGAAGTGGGTCTAGAGCAAATAGAGAAAGTCTATTTGGAGTGTACTCCAATGCAGAAAGGGAAAAACAAAAAAAAGAAGAAGGGAAAGCTACATACCTGCGTTGCTTCCTTAGCTGGAATGTCAAAAGGTGGCACCGAAGGTCTATTTGTGGACCTGGTGCTGGACCTTCTCCCTTGCCAACTCAGATTTTGAAGGTCCATTGGCATTGACATTGGAGAGTACATTTTACAACAAAATGTGCATTTGCTGACATGGAACTCCAATGCACCCTTGCATTGGAGATGCTCTAAAGTGCATGTGCCCCCCTGGACATTTTGAAATATTTGTACCTTTTCACATGATAATAAACTCTTTCTTTTTTACAAAGAGCAATACGTTACAATTAGCATTCAAGAGATTAGGTGCAAACGCTGAAAACATTATATTGTACATGTAGTAGCTAAATGGTCAGCGAAACTCCAGAAAATGATTTTAAAAATAGTCTTTTATGGTACCGATAATCTAATTTCCGCAGCGTTCGCCTTGTCCCTCGTAAGGTTTCAGTTTTTTTGCTGATCATCGGGGTTGTAACGTTTTAATGGTAATGGGGCCATTGATGACGCTTCTTTCTTCGTTAGCAACTTTTGCCTTCATTTCAGAAATTTCTTGGGCGGAGTCTGTGGTGACTACGTGTCCTTTGCGGAGAGAAGGGAATGACAACAGATTATGTTCATAGTCATGGTTGGAGTTCAAGTTGCAAATGTATGGAAGTAACGGAGAGTGGTTAACTTTCATTCCGATATTGTTTGTGGGTTAGAAGTTCTGTTTTTTATTTAAATCCGAGACTTATGTTGGTTATGTTACACAATTTGTTTGAAATATTGGAGCGTTGTGTATTAAGGCAATGGTTGATTTTGATAAATAACTGATATTGTTAGGGTTGTAATTGTGTTGATATAGTTTTGCACGTTGTCATTATTATATTACCTTAGTCATAAAAAGAAGTAAATACACCTAATTTTTGGAGTGTATTGAAAGTAATATTTGAACTAATGTGACTTTTTTAATTTGAATATCTAAACTGAAAAACCAATCCCTAGACTAGGCCTGGACTCGGGCCGGGCGGCCCGACCCGGAACCGGCCCGGCCCGGCCCGGCCACTGTAGCAACCGGCCCGGCCCGGTGGCCCGGTCCACCGGCGGTTCGGGTCGAACCGGCCCGGTGGTTCCCGGTTCCGGGCCCGGGCCTTCCATATGGTGAACCGGCCCGGCCGGTTCGGGCCCGGTCCGGGCCGGAATTAATTTTTTTTTTTTTTTTTTGAAAATTTTTTATGTTTTGGGTTAGATTAGGTATTTTGGTCCATTTGAGATGGTTTGGGGTGGTTTGGGGTTGAGAAAGAGGGGTAGGGGATTAAATAAAGAAGCCAAAAAAAAAAAAAATTAATAGGGCGGGTGGCCCGGCCCGGAACCGGCCCGGTCTGGCCCGGAACCGGCCCGGAACCGGCCAACCCCGGTTCGGGCTCGGGCCTATATATACTGAACCGAGGCCCGGCCGGGCCCAGGCCCGAGGCCCGAACCGGCCCGGTTCAGTCCACCCCTGCCCTAGACCTAGACTCGGTAATCAAAATCAATTGTACATCACGTTAGCGCTTTAGCGTTAGGAAAATTTTTGAATTTGATCTTGATCCCAAACCAAATTTAGCCCTATTTTATGCAAGGCGCTTCTTGCACGTATGCTGTGATAAAAAAGAGTGTTGTGGTAGACATGTGAAAGTCAACAATATCACTATCACTTAGGAGGGTTGTATTGCATCTTGGATGTAGCAGCACATTTAACCTGCTTAGGCGTGGACTGAACCGGGCCCGGTTGTGGGTCAGGCCTAGGCCTAGCCGGGCCAAAAAAAATTTTAGAGAGGCCCGGGACCGGCCCGGAAGTTGACTGGTGCCGGTCTGTGCCCGGGCCGGGCCGGGTCCGGTTCTAATTTTTTGTTTTGGGTTTTCTTGATTATTTTATCCCCTACCCCCCATTCCCCCATCCCACAAATCTATCTGAAACACCCATTCCAGCCCATTTAAACCCAGCCCAAAGATCAAAACCAAAAAAAAAAATTAAAAGGCCCAAACCGGGCCCGAAACCGGCTGGGCCGGTTCTCAAATCCCTCAGCCCGTACCCGCCCCGGTTTCCCCTTCAAATCGGGCCCAGACCCGGTACCGGTACCCGGTTCCCGGGTCTGGCCGGTTCCCGGGCCTGGTGGCTCGAACCGGGTCCTTGCCTAAACCTGCTTATTTATATTCCAAGAAAAACATTTTCCATGAAACTTATATTTCCGAGAAAATGTTTTGCATATCAAGTTCTTTTCTTGATCTCAAGCAATGCCTTAAACTGATGTGGCATTATGCGCATCAAATGTATTATGTGCATCAAATATATGTAGGCCAAATTATCAGATTGGTAAAAAAGGGGTGATTTATCAGATTGGTAAAATAACCACTTGAGACAAATTGATAAAACAAAGAGTGATACACCTGGTCTCCGACTTTCGAATTTACGACATTCTTTTAAAAATATACTATTTATTAAAATTCTACTACTCCGTATTTTTTAAGAGCCCGTTTGGTAACATGAAAATCGGTTGTTTTGGCTGATTCTGCTGAAATTTATGTTCTGGCTGAAGTAGTTGCATTGGCTGATTCTGCTGATTGAAGAAAAAATTATTTTTAAAATATATATTATTAATAAAATAAAGAAAAAATTATATGTAAAAATAGCTAAAATGATCATCTATAGTAACCTCAGCCAATACACTCACAAATGTAACTCCAACCTTACTTTTTCCGCTTAATACACAATTCAGCATGCGAAAACAAAAGTTACAAGTTTGGTGAAAAAGTTGGTTGATAAGCCTGATAAGCCGAAAAATAGTGTTGCCAAACGGCCTCTAAAACTCTACTCCATTTTGTTAACTTTTTCATTTGCGGTTTGAAGTAAAAATGTTAGTAACTGTTTGCGATTAAATGCTAAGACATGAAATGATCATTAAGGATATGAATTTGAGAATAACTTAGGTTTATTTTTTTTATTTTAAATAAGTCTTGGAAAGAGTTTTAAAACTTATATTTGTGTTTATTTTAAATAAATAACTACGGTAGAATTTTTTAAAATACTACTTTCTCCGCCAAGTACCTTGTGGTCTGATGGCATCACTGTGACACTCCCAAGGAAGATGTCACAGGTTCGAATCTCATCCCAGTTCAAGGATGTTGACATTAACATTGAGCAATACTATATAGGTTAGAAAGAATTAATCCAAAAAAAATACTACTCCGTCCCCCAATTAAGTTCCCACTTTCTTGTTTAGGCAGTTTCTAAATTAAGTTCACACTTCAATACTTTTCTTATTTGGCAAATAATCTACATCAAAACAGTGCTAAACAGTGTTGTTTAAACAGTGCAAAATAGTGACTCCACAGTAAAGTCAAATTTATGTTCTTAATATGTGTGAAGTCAAACTAGGAACTGAATTGGGGGAGGGAGTAGTAAATAGTCATATGGAGTAAAGTTTTGGAGATGTATTTTTAAATGGAGTAGATTTCTAAAAAAACTAATAAATATTCATATTTGAAATATTAATACTAAAAATATACGAATTTATAAGTGCATGCTTGCGTTAATGTACATATGTTAAAAATGATAGTGTTAGTAGTTATTTAAAATAATTATAAATAAAATTCTTAAAACTGTTTTCAAGACTTATTAAAAATAAAAGAAATAAAATTCAGTTAAATCTATAAACTTTTAAACTCATATCATTAATGATCATTTAATGTCTTAAAATCTAATCACAAACAGCCAAGTTACAAACAATTAATTCTAAAGCGCTAATGAAAGCGATTAGTTAAAAAAGCTAACGGAATCCACTAATATCAAGGAAATGGATTACCTCAGCATGATAAAACATTAAGGGCATGTTTGGCACAACTAGCCGAAAAGACACTTGTGTGAATTTTTTAGTAAATGTTAGCTAATAGTGACTGAAAAGATCGTAGTTGTTTGATAAAAGATGACTATTTGATTTAGTTTTGTTTGGTATAGCAACCTGTGGTGGAACCCTTCCCTAGACCCTCGCCTTGAGGGGATGCTTTCGTGCACTAGGCCACATACGTTCTCTTAGAAGCTACTCAGAGTGATTTCTCTAAAAAGATCTTAAATTTTAAAGCTCTCAAAAATGCTGTGCCAAACATACAACTAACTAACTAAGAGCTTTTAGACACTTTTAAAATGGTAAAACGCTAGAAGGTAGACACTTATGTCTACCACGCATACACCAAAACTTAACATATTGGAAATTTGGAATGTGTTTCACTCCCTGCATTCTGTTTAACTGTTGTCTAAGGTTCACGACTTTGAGCATAGTACAGGTAAAATACAACTCCATCCATCCCTTATAACTTAGCCAAGTTTGTCCGGCACGTGGATTAATAAAGTAAAAACTGTGTAGTTGAGGATTGTGCACAAGAGAGAGAATTAATAAGA